CATCAGCAAACAATCGCGGTTTTGTTTTGTTTAGACAATGTGGCAAATCATTGATGTACAACAAAAAGAATAATGGCCCTAATATAGAGCTTTGTGGTACCGTGACCACATTTTATCAAGCGCTCAGATGAAAATGAGTTTTTTATTTGACACTTCTGGTTTCGGTTTGTGAGATAGGATTTGAGCAAAGTTAGACCTTGTCCTTTTATTCCATAGAGCGGCTCTAATTTGTTCAGTAGAATTTGATGATCAACAGTATCAAAGGCTTTCTTCAAATCAATTAAAACTATTACGTTAAACATTTTTCTGCCTAGATTTACATACCAATCATTAGTACAGTCTAGTAATGCACTAGCTCTAGAGTGAAATTTTCGAAATCCAAATTGGGAATCATTGAGAAGCTCAAATTTTGTTAAATAGTTATACAGTTGATCATACAATATCCGTTCCATAATTTTACTAATGGCCGGTAAAACTGATATTGGTCTGTAGTTTCCAGGAATACTACATTGGCCATTTTTATATAGAGGCATCACTCTAGCTACCTTCCATTCATTAGGAAAAGAAGATAGAGTAATAGCCTGATTGAAAATAAGTGTCAGTGAATCTGAGATGACAGGTGCAGCTAATTTAATAATTTTGGAAGAGATTTTATCGATGCCAGTGGCTTTATTGTTGGAAAGTCCATGCAAAAAATGAGAGACATGACTGACAGTAACAGGTTGGAAAGCAGCAAATTCTGATTCGATTGAGCATTTTTGACATACGTTTCAAAATTGGAATTTGAATAATCTATTTTGCTAGCTAGATCTGGGCCAATATTTGAAAAATATTCATTAAAGCCCTCCGCAATATCTTCAGGACTTGTCAAATTTTGTTCACCTATATTTAGTTCATTTACCATGCACTGTTGGTTTGTTTTGCCTACCTAACAAGTTGTTTATACTTTTCCAAGCTTTCTTGGGATTAATTTTTTGACCAGCTATTTTCGAGGAATAATAATCTTTTTTGGCACTTCTTAGTTCTATATTTACTTTATTTCTCGCTGTTTTAAAGTGTAACCAATCATTCTCATGGTTTGTCAAAATGGCTTTTCGTTTAAACTTGTCCCTTGTATTCATAAGTTTCTTTATATCACTTGTAATCCAAGGGACTTTTTTCGATCTTATCTTCTTTCGCTGAAGTGGTGCATGTTTGTCTAGGACTTCAAGAAATAAATTTTTCCAAATTTCCCACATGGCATTTGGATCATCAGCAAAGAAATACACATATTCCCAGTGTTGTTTTAGCAGTTCTTCAATAAATTTTCCTTCATCAAAATTTTTCATGTTTCTAATTTCAAGAGTATTTTCTTGTTTTGTAACAATAGAAATTTTCAGGATTGCAAATACTAAGCTATGATCACTAATACCTGTGTGAATGACACCAGAATCAGAGATTTTCTCTGGCGTATTAGTAACAATATGATTAATAAGACTGGTGGTTGTTGGAGTTATTCGAGTAGCTTCATCTATCAGTTGTGTTAATTGGTATAATTCATATAGTGATTTTATTTTCTTTGTTGGAATATTTGAATCGTTATTTGTTTTTAGCATATTACAGTTCAGATCACCCAGGATATACATTTCTTTATTTTCATTATCAACAGCTTTGATCAATTTTTCAAAATGATCAAAGAATTCTGATAATGTACTGGGTGGTCTATAGACTGTGGCAACAAGAAATGGTTTGCTATGCGGCTTAATAATTAGTCAACACAGACAGCTTCGAGTTCAGTGCCGGGAACTAGATCATTTCTTACTTTGTAATTTATGGAGCTACGCAAGTAAATACAAACCCCACCACCGTTTCTTGATCTGTCTTTTCTGACAATATCATAGCCATCTAGATTAATCATGTTATCAGTTATATTTGCATTAAGTCGTGTTTCATTAAGTGCAACTATCAGATCAATGAATTTGTTGGTCATTGAAACATTAATTTCATCTATATTTTTTGGTAGACTCACTATATTCAGAAAAGCCATTTTGAAACCTCTTTCATTTGGAATTGAGCTGAGAGTTTTTAAAAAATCGCCGCTCACATTGTTGCTTGACATATCGTCTACTCTAGCTTGTGTTTCATCATGCGTTTCACATGATTGAGATACATTGTCCACAGGCGGCCAGAGGGTGGACGAAAAAAATGGTTGTTGGAGTTTCTAGTGCTAATTCTGTCTGACTTTAAGTAAGTGCAGAATGAACTTCCCAAAGCTTTATCACCGTCCCGATTTAAGTGTAGGTTTGATCTATTTAGCAGTGATTTTCCTTTGCAGTTATTGTTGATAAATGTAATTTTATGTTTGGAGCAAAGATTATTAACTACAGTAGTCCCCCGCTAACTCGAACTCGCTTAACTCGAACTCCTCGCTAACTCGAACTAAATCCAATTCCACTTGGATCTGACACTGTTTTTTATAGTAATTTACTCCGCTTAACTTGAACTCGCTTAACTCGAACTCCTCGCTAATTCGAACAAATTTTGTTTTCCCTTGGTCAAATTTATCCCGTTAACTCGAACTTTGTTTTCGAGTCGTGGACCGGCAATTGAAACCTTAAAATGTCAGAACATAGCATTTTGACAACCGGTAACTTGGATTTTTATTCAAATAACAACAATTTAATCGGTGTATATTATAAATGATCATAAATTTTAAGAGATTATACACATGGTTGCGACGATTGTTATTGATCTAATTTTTTTAGTTCCTTTTGTAAATTTCTACATATTTTTCATGTCCAAAGAACTTTAGTTTGCATGGAAATTGCATGCCTCCTCCATCACCCAAGTTAAAAAGATACTGACTATAAAGAATTTTAGTTATAGGAATGCACAATTAACTGAATCTTTTGTAATTTTGATGAACAGTATAATAAAACTTTTATACCTTATTAATTATTAACATAATAAACAAAATCTGACACCAAGTCCGGTTAATTCGAACCCCCGCTAACTCGAACAATTTTTCGTTCCCCTTGGGAGTTCGAGTTAGCGGGGTTCTACTGTAATTTATTATATTGATCAATTTTATGATTGTTTACCTTGCCATCATAACGCTTGATAATTAACAATTATTGGATGAGGTTTTTTGTGATATGCGGAATTATCAAGGTCGAGGTAAGCGTTATCAACCGAGCCGAAGGCGAGGCTGATAACGCTTACCGAGACCTTGATAATATTGCATATCGCAAAAACCGAATTCAATAATTGTTTTATTATACATTTGTTTGTGTTACAGTCAAAATACAAGAACCTTCCCGCTTCTGTAACTCTGTTTTGTATTTATTTGTTCTATTTTCTGTAGCGATTACCGCTTTATCGTATCGTATCGTATCGTATCGTATCGTAAAAATTTATTTTATGACGCTAGCCTCATCAACATAAGTTGATTTTCATGAGGGGCGTCGTCAATTTATATACAAAGTAAGAATATTTACAAGAGAATAAATAGAAACAAAGACAAAAAAAACAAAAAAACAAACTATTTACAAAAGTGCATGCAGGATACAGGAGGTGTGACCCATATAATATATTAACATTGGTAACACAGTCAAAGATTAATATTTTGTTTGAAAATATGAATTGATTGTGCTTCTTTTGCTTCCCGAGAAAGGGTATTCCAAAGCTTTGCCCCGCTGTATTTAAAACTTTTTTTTAGGAATTCCCTTCTCGGTTTTGGGAGAGCTAAATCAGTATAGCTATTTCTTAAATTATAGTTCGGTTGCGTTAAACTACTCCCAGTCAGTGACTCTTTCAAGTTAGGAGCAGTATAATCATTTAGAATTTTATACAGAAGAATGGACTTCATCTTCTGTCTCCTACTTTTTAATTAAAGTTTCCCAACCAAGAGTTTCAAGAATAACAGCAGATTCAATTTCGTAACTTGCGCCAGCAATTATTCTGGCCGCTCGATTTTGAAATTTCTGAAGTTTATCAAGCAGTTGTGTGCCGCTAATGTCCCATAGTGGAGAACAGTAATCAAAATAAGGTTGAATCAAGGTATTCAAAAATCATTTGAAGTGAGCTTACTGGAATAAAATGTTTAGCCCTTCGCAACATTGCAATGCCAGATCCAACTTTTTTCAATACCTTTTCGATCTGTTTATTCCATTTAAGGTTTTCATCTAGTAAAACGCCCAGACATTCGAAAGAGCTAGTTCTACGAAGAGGTTTGTTGTTCAAGAACACAGGATAGTCGTGAACTTTATTGGTTAGATTATATGACGATCCTATGATTCATGTACTTAGTTTTAGTAGGGTGGTGCTGTAGTTTCTTACTGGCGAGCCAATCACTGATTTGTTGTAGGTCAGAATTTAATTTATCAATCAGCTCATTATAATCGTTAGAAGAAGAAAATATTTGGGTATCGTCAGCGTATAAACAAGGTGTAGTATTTTTTAGTTTATCCGGTATGTCGTTAATATAAATTAGAAATAGCAAAGGCCCTAAAATTGAGCCCTGATGGATACCACAAATAATCTTTTTTGGGGACGATGTATGTCCATTTATAATACAAACTTTGTTCGCGATTCATAAGGTAAGATTTAAACCAGTTTAATTCATTATTGGAAATACCAAACTGTGTTTCCAATTTGTTAAGCAATATTTTGCGATTTATCGAATCAAAAGCCTTACGGATATCTAAGAATACGACTCCATTCAATTCGCCTTTATCCATATTTGCGTAGCAATCGTCACACATTTGTATCAGGGCACTCAGAGTCGAATTTTTAGGACGAAACCTGCCTGATGCTTGGACAGCAACGTATTTTCGTTAAGATATGTATATACCTGATTAAAAACACATCTCTCGAAAATTTTACTAATAATTGGCAATATTGAGATTGGCCGATAATTTTCGCATTTGCGTTTGTCATCTGATTTGTAAGTTGGTAGAACCCAGGCCATTTTCCATTGATCAACGAAAATTCCTGAATTTAATGAGATGTTATAGTGGCTTCGGTGGCCAAGTGGTTAGCGCACTTGCCTTTCACCTCTGAGGCTGCAGGTTCGAGTCTCACTAAGTACCTTCTCAATGCGACTCGAACCCAGTCCCCATGTGAAAAGAGTAAAAGTCAACGCTCTGCCGAAAGCCGTGGGTTTTCCCCGGGTACTCCGGTTTCCTCCCACAGGGAAAGTTGACAGGGTGGGTTAGGTAAAAAAGGGCCCACAGTAATTGGCATATGCTGTTGTGGTGGCCCTGCCCTAGTTGGCAAAGCTAAATAAATAAAATGTTAAAGATCTTAGTTATTGATGGACCTATTATGTTCGCGGATATTTTCAGGATTTTAGCTGGAATATTACCGATACCTGTCGACTTTGATGTTTTAAGATTTTGACACATATCGCGTTAGGATCCGGTAGAATTTCGCTTTCCTTCCTTTATATACGTCAATTTGTAGCAATGGATACACCTTTCGTTAGATTCTTTGCATAAAAGTTGCGAAACTTAGATCTTATAGCGATATTTGCTGATAAATCGGTTTTAATTAAACCGCCGCCTAGTGTGTTCATACTATACAAATTTAAAATTACCGAATACAATCATTTGACGTACTAAAATGAAAATTTCACAACTTTTATGCAAATAATCTAACGAAAGGTGTATCCTCTGCTACAAATTGACGTATATAAAGAAAAGAAAGGGGAATTCTACCGCGATATTTGCCGACAAAAATCGATACAGAAAATAGAACAAATTACAGAAATACAAAACAAGTTACAGAAGCGGAAGTGGGAAGGTTCTTGTATTTTGACTGTAAATAGATACCGCTTGCTAATCATCGCAGGCTCATTTGCAGATAACTAATGTATAATAACACCAGATACTGCTAATTTGTTGGTGTGGGCCTTTGCTTTGTTGATGAGACTTTCCATGTCTGCAGCAACCTTCTTTAGTTCTTTACGCACCAAGTAATTTGTTCCAACATGAAGGATTTGTTCCTCTGCATGGTTCTCATCAAACTTCTTCGCAAGCTGATTCACAGTGGCACCACTGTAGGAATGTGAAATTGCTTTGCCACGTGCAGCTCCGCCAGTCTTGTTACCGTCAATATGCTTTACCATAGAGTCCCCCATCATCAAAACTGCTTTCTCCTGGCTCTGCTTCATCGAGGATTTCTTCATGGTAACCACATTGTTGTCGGGGTCCTCTCTCAATTCTTTGCCTTCAGGTTTTGGACGCTTTCTACAACGAGTTGAGTCCTTAGGTGGTTCCCTTGGGTGATTGGCTTCTTTGGAATTTTGGTCACTGCCAGAACTTGATTCTTCCACATCAAGTATTTTTGGACGCTTTCTACAACGAGTTGAGTCCTTAGGTGGTTCCCTTGGGTGATTGGCTTCTTTGGAATTTTGGTCACTGCCAGAACTTGATTCTTCCACATCAAGTATTTCAAATGCATTAGGTGTGAGTGGAATCTTTTCTTTGTTGATAGCAGGTTTTGATGATTTCTTGGCCTTTTGGTCCGCCTTGGTCCACTCGTTTTGTTTGATATCAAGAACACACTTGATATTGGCATTATCACCGCTCAATTCACTTACACTTAAATTCAACTGCTCGATTTCGCCCGCCATTTTGTTATTTTGTTCTGACAATGTTTTTATGGTAATTTCTAAATTTGTTGATTTCAATACTGCCCGCTGCGATTCTTCTTCTTGTTTAGCTTTAATTTCATTAATCAGAGTCATAATGTTGGCAATTTGATGGCTATTTATAAACTTCACAATTTCCGCACACCGAGTGATTTTCATGGACATCTGGCTTCGGATCGTGTTGTTTGTTGACGACGTCGACCATGTACTTTGTCGTTTTTATGTTCTCATCTTGACTTATTACGCCATTTGCTTGCACACTTGCCTCTAGAGCGCTTCGCAGAGACTTTTCCTCGTTGTCTTTCATAATCTGCAGTTTTTCTTTCTTCGGGCCGTGCCATTTTAAGCTGAAATCTTTGCTTTTGAATAAATGTTCCTCTCCGCGAGGCGAAGACCAATTCCCGTCGTCACATTTCAAAATCGCCGCTACGAACGCTTTTAGCGAGTTTAGATCGCCTTTCAGTAGTAATATAGAGGCCGTTCGACCCCCTTTTTTGTGGTGGAGTGTGGTGGAGTGTGGTGGAGTGTGGTGGAGGTGGTGGAGTGTGGTGGAGGGAGGGTGCGTAATGACGTCACTCGTCGTTAACATACGTCATAATTATATGCAATGACGTCAAGCGGGCGAGTTTAAACAAGATCGGTTGAAACTTGCTGACTACGCGTTTTTTAGCGTCCCCCACGTGTGTGGTGGTGGAGTTTGAGGTGGTGGAGTGTGAGGTGGTAGAGTTTGAGGTGGTGGGTGTCCACCACCTCATTTATAATTAATACTCGTACAAATGAAGAGGAGTAATGACGTCACTCATTAACATACGTCATAATTATATGCAATGACGTCACGCGGGCGAGCTTAAACACGATCAGGCGAAACTTGCTGACTACGCATTTTTTAGCGTCCCCCACGTGTATGGTACAATAGAGGGATTAATCTTGGTTTGCTATGAATAGCTCGAGTCCCTCACAAGGCAAAATTGTTATCGAAATTAATATATAGCAGTGTTATAGCCGTATCTTTGCTAGGAAGAGATAAATTTCCACGAGTATTTGAAGGATTTTGGTATGTTTACAAAATTATAGAGAGGAATCTATTCGTCACAAAAATCAAGACATATTTTAAACTAAACAGTTCCTAATCCCGAGTTGTCAACGTCGTTGTTAATGTCAATATTTACATGTTGTTCAACGTTATTTTAGCAAATATTCTACATACATATATACTGTTAAGATGACCGAGTCAGATCATAAGTAAGCTTATGAAGAATATAAGTTAGAATTGGAACAATTGTAAAATATTTTGCGATAAAAACGTGTAATCGTTATATACGTTGTTATGTGTTGCTAAGTCATTAGCGACGCTTGGGTGCATGCATATATCAACGTACAACATATTTGTACACTAATCAGGCGGGCGGGTCGCGCGGGCGGAAAGAGCGGGCTTTGCCAGCAAAAAATTACACAATATTTCAATTTTTAAATACATTTATTTCTTCAAAACGTTTTACAAAGTTATACATCTAATATATATCGTCACTTGTTTCAGGGGTTTCGCTATCAGATTCTTCGTCATAGCTGCTTTCATCATCGTGGCTGCTTTCATCTTCCGTAATCCATTTGGTATGTCTTGGGACTGTTATATGAGAACACAGTTTTAACCTCTTTGTAGTTGATAAATTACTTCGTTGGCCTTGCCTTCTCTTGCTTCCGCGCCCTGCTTGTTGTAGTAGGGCTTTTGCTCCTTGTTCAGCAAAGTCTTTAACAACGTCACCTCCGTTAGTCTTTACAGATTCTCTTACATTTTTTCCTTGGAGTACATCTTGACCAACTTCTGTGGCTGCTTGTAATGCTCTTTTGCCAACAACTTTAGCACCTTGTTTGAATAGAAGAATAGCATATCTCGCAAGGCTCTTGAAAATACCTCCGATCCCATATCCTCTTTGAAAACGTGCACCACGATACCCAGCGATGTTTCCGCCAAGTTGCTGTCTCAAGAAATGGTCTCTCAGTAGTTTTTCGTCTACAACAAGTGTACCTCTCGGCATGTTGATGTGTTCAGTTCAACTTCACGCAGTCAACTAATCAAATATCACTTTGGTCGCCTATTTTATGGTTAAAAGACTGCCTTTTATCCGTTCTGATATCTATAATTTTACCTCGGCGACAATGTGGACAGCTGGCGATTACATGCGTAAAATCTCTCTTGGACACTTCAAAATCACAGATCATACAGCGACAGCTTTTACAATTCGGATAAAAATCTGTCCATGTGCATACGGGGCACGTACTCAAATGGGAGATGTATATATCTTTGTTACAACTGTTACAAGTTGCGTCAGCATCAGATTGTGTATCCTGACGGGACCACTTGTGGGCTAACACAGAAAGGACATGTCCATTTAAGATTAGGCTTTTATCAATTTCCAATTCTGCAAGACAAGTGTAGAAATGCTCAATCCAGTTGGTTCGGGAATATCTGGATGATAAGGCGTCACTCAATATTTCAGAAGGTCTACAATGTCAGTTCCTCGTATATTATATCCTCTGTAAACGATTTTTCCTTTTCCGTTCCAAGTTAAATGTCTTTACTATAGTCTTTCATAGTCTTTACTATAGTCTTTCATAGTCTTTACTATAGTCTTTCATAGTCAGGACTATAGTCTTTCATAGTCAGGACTATAGTCTTTCATAGTCAGGACTATAGTCTTTCATAGTCAGGACTATGGTCTTTCATAGTCAGGACTATAGTCTTTCATAGTCTTTACTATAGTCTTTCATTGTCAGGACTATAGTCTTTCATAGTCAGGACTATAGTCTTTCATAGTCAGGAAACTAACGGGATAAATACACCTCTTCACCCTTGCTTTTGACTTTCGAGAAGTAAACATGTCTTATGAATGCAACATCTGCGGTAAAACGTTTGCAAATGCGAGTAATCTCCTTCGCCACAAGAATGTTGTCCATCCATATGGAACTCGTAATCTTGGGCAGCAAACTCTTACGGTGAATGGGGTTACAGTCATGCAGCATTCCTTAACGTGCATCGTTGCAGGATGTACCCAAAGCGGCAAAACCGTATGGGTGAAATCTCTCTTCGAGAATGCTCAAACGACTATAAGTCCAAGTCCTACTCCTCAACGTATCATTTGGTGTTATGGTCAATGGCAACCGTCCTATTTTGATATGATGAAGATAATGCCTGGAATCGAGTTTTATGAAGGCATCCCCGACGATATCGACAATGCAGATTACTTGGACGTATCGCAACGGAATTTGATCGTATTGGATGATCTTATGGCTCAATCTGGCAAAGATAAACGTATTTCTGATCTTTTCACGAAATGAAGTCATCATCGAAATTTGTCTATCATCTATATTGTCCAAAATATATTTCATCAGGGCAAAGAAATGAGAAATATCAGCCTTAATGCGCATTATATCGTATTGTTCAAGTCACCAAGAGATAAACAACAAATTTCTATGCTTGCAAGGCAAATAAATCCCGGCAAAGTACAAGAGTTTATGAGGAGTTATGAGATGCTACGAGCCGGCCTCACGGGTATTTGATGTTGGATTTAAAGCCGACAACGAGTGACCAAGATCGATTCAAGACAAACGTACTTCCCGGCGAGATTGCAAAGTTTATACACAAACAGTCGTATCGTCAACCACCGCTTGTAAATGCAATGTATGATGCCGAGCAGCGAATGAAAGAAATCATGGATGCACCACAGCTTAGCGCAGTGGAAAAAAGCAAAGAAAACTCTTTAAAAATAACAAAAACTCCTAGACGTTACGCTCTTAGAAGTAGACCGTACTAAATTTTGTGAAACGTTTTGAAGAAATAAATGTATTTAAAAACTGAAATATTGTGTAAATGTTTGCCGGCAAAGCCCGCTCTTTCCGCCCGCGCGATCCGCCCGTCTGATTAGTGTACAAATATATTGTACGTTAATATATGCATGCACGCAAGCGTCGCTAATGACTTAGCAACACATAACAACGTATATAACGATTACATGTTTTTATCGCAAAATATATTACAACTGTTCCAATTCTAACTTATATTCTTGATAAGCTTACTTATGACCTGACTCGGTCATCTTAACAGTATATATGTATGTAGAATATTTGCTAAAATAACGTTGAACAACATGTAAATATTAACCTTAACAACGACGTTGACAACTCGGGATTAGGAACTGTTTAGTTTAAAATATGCCTAAAATATGTTTAAAATATTATTTTTGTGACGAATAGATTCCTCGCTATGGTATGGATAATATATGCTGAAAAATATAAAATGCTTGCAGGTTGCAGATACTACATGTGTCCCAGAAAATGCCGGACTGTACTTATAGTAGTATACTTGTAGTACACTATGTTACAGGGCCGTAGGGAGAGCGATAATTTGGGGCGTGGCGCATTTTCATATATTCATGTTTACAGATCGTAAAAACAATCGATTTCAACCCCAACGTAGTATTACTATGAGATATAGATGGGCACTGTTTTTTTGGAACATCCTGTGGAGAAACTCCTGACTGGTGAAAGACTACTAAAACTTGTGAATCTTATTTGTTCCCGAAAGATTAAAATTATCTTATTTCAAAAATTAATCTTGTTTCATACGTTTTTAATCTTATTCCATTTTAAAGGCCTACTCAAAAAAATCTTATTTATTTCCAACATATCGTTTCTACCGATTTATGCTCACACACACAAGGATTTTAAGATTTTATTTACTCAGCCATTACATAATCTCCATAATTTAACTCATGAACGAACAGCGGGTTTGAAGCCGTATTCGGGCGTCGTTTACGTTTCCTGCTTCTAGGCATATCAGAGTATCAATCGTTCTTAGAAACTCTGGATCCACCGAGCAAGGACGCCTATATTTATAGAGAAAAGTAGACTAAACTGCGCATGACAGGTAACCTTGTTCAGGGACAGTGACGCGTGATGCCGTGATCAATTATTTATACATGTTTATTCATGTTGCCATATAAATGTCATAATAAATATGACACAGAGTACTCGAATTTCAATATGAAATGAGTGATTATAAAGGCCTGCAGCTAAACTATATGTGACAGTAGTTTAGTAACTCGCGAGTGGAAGGAATACGAGGTAATTGAGTTAAACAGTGGTATGTCGTAAGTGAAACAAACACTTGACAAAAAATACCATGATATATAGCTCATAGTGCATTATGCAGAAAGTACTTGCCGTGGTCAATCCCCACAAGATGGGTTCATCCCGGGCAAGCTTTGTAACAGATTCTATAACCTGAAGGAAACAGGACAAATGCGGCACTTTATATATATATATATATATATATATATATATATATATATATATATATATATATATATATATATATATATATATATATATATATATATATATATATATATTACGTACTGGGACTATATATATATATATTACGTACTGGGACGTATATATAGCGGTTACTAGCAATAGTACTGAATAAGCCTGTCAGTCCTGAAGAAATATAAAAAATCACCCCCAATTGAATTTGGTTTCCATGCAGTAAATTAGGTTCCAGGTTCCGTGCATGTCTGAATGGGAAAAAAGAAATCAATTTAAAAGATTAACTTGTGAAAATGAAATTACCATGCACACGTAAAAACGCACAAGTTGTAACAAGTCTGCAAACAAGTTGTTACACGTCTGTTCACAAGCTGTCAACAAGTTGTGCTCGCACTGCTTGTTTCCAGTTTGTTGTAACAAGTTTGAAACAAGCTGTTAACAACTTATAACAAGCTTGATGCATTGTCAGCCTTGTTACAAGATTGTGCTAACAAGTTTGTTACAGCCATGATAAAACAAGGATGTTACAAGGTTGTCAACACAAGGTTGTAACAATCTTGTTATATCAAGCTGTCACGGACTTGTCAGAACAACCTTGCAACAAGTCTGATAATTTCGACAAGGTTGTTACAAGTTGTCAACAAGTTGTTCCAAACCTGTTGACAACTTGTGGCAAGCAGTGCGAATACATCTTGTTGACGGCTTGTTGGCAGACTTGTTACAACTTGTACATGTGCGTTTTTACGTGTGTACCTACCTACCTACCTACCTATACCTACCTATACCTACCTATACCTACCTATACCTACCTATACCTACCTATACCTACCTATACCTACCTATACCTACCTATACCTACTTATACCTACAATCACTTTCAGAAGTTGTTGGTACACATGTAGTTTTAGATTGTAAGTGGATCATTACAGTTTTTTACACACAATACCACTCCACTCCCCCTCCCTCCACCTCAATCAATGTTGCTCCAACCAAAACACATCAAACCTGACGAGAAATGGGACACAACATTGTACAGGGGGCGGGAGGATTGACGTTTTGTTGAAATTCAAAGGTTTTGTGGCATCTGTCCCAAGACTTTTGAAACTGATTGTCTGAAAGGCAATGAAAGGCATATTTAACCTCTTTGAATTACCGGGTATTTTAGAATATCAGTTTCGCGAAAATCATATAGCATTTAGTATAACATGTTTACTGAATTGCATTGGCATATGTAACGTCCTTACTGTGCTTCGGTTGTGGTCAATATCTTTGAAATGTAACACAATCCAGCAGTGTATTATAAATGAGCTTATACTGAAAGATGTGAGTGTGGGGAGGGTAGTATGCCGAGCGATTAAACCTGGTCTATATGCAAGGGAGAAAACACATCTATCTGGTTAATTATCGACCTATGTTAATGTTAAATAAAATGCAAAGGTAAGTTATCGAAAACCACTTAAAGATTGTGCATATTTGACATGAAAACATTTATGTCATATAAAACGGCTTGAACACGTGCTCGGTTGTCACTTTGAAACACATAGCATTTTCGTTGATATAACTTTCAATTGTCGCGGCATAATCATTTTCAGAACATTAAGTACTAAGCAAACGTGTTTAGGGAGCGCTTATTGATATATTACGGGTTCTACTTAATCACAAAGTATATAAATTGTATAAAATGTATCGATTGACACTCAACTCTAGAAATATCACTATGATATATCAGATTTATTTATGTAAAAAAGTGTCAATCGATCCAAAACTTGGTTTAATCAATTTCAAATCCTTTCATTAATAGCAAATACATTGTTAGACATTCTCAACAGATTATTCTTAGCCTTGTTCTGTTTTAAAAGATGTCTAGTTGCCTGTTATTTCATATTTCTATAGTGACAATCGAAGTGTCAACTTTTTGCCGTGTGGAAGTGACTACCGCCCATTCCATGAGCCTCCGACATTCCCACCTACTTAGTGCTCCTTCCTACCCATGCGTCGACAATTATATCTTAAAATTGTGCTCTAGAAAGATGTGAAATGTCACATTGACCATAAGTGCAGTGGCGTAGCCAAGGGGGGGCGAGGGGGGGCGATCGCCCCCCCCCAACGCTTCTAAGACCATTCTCGCGAAAAGTCTAAATGGGGGGGGGGGGTACGTTTAACGAAATCCAAACTCACAATATAATTATGCCGTTGAGGTATGGAAATTATAGCTACCCAAGTTTGGGTAAAAATATCGAGTGCGCAAATCTGATATAATCATTTATGTCTTGGGAGCGCTGAGCTGGTATTTATATGCTTATATACAAGGTGTTAAAACACGCAAACCATTGAATTGGCAAAGCTGCGCAAAAGCAATTACTATAACTGTCAAAACAATTTACTTAAGCTAACATACTCAAAAGTACTTAACAGATTAAATCTGGGCGAGTCTACTTCCTTAGTATTATCCAATCATGTCATCGCGAAAACTGAATAGTAAATTATAATATGCGCGGAATTTTCTTGCGTGACTAGCGCAGACTATTGTATACATGAAAAATGGCAGAAGCTTCTGTTCCTCAAGATCTTTCGTCTTATGAGTACGAACCTTCCTGTCCTTTGCCCAGTGGAAGAGAAGCCAGGGACCACGTTATAAGCAAAGGACCTTGCCAGCCAAGAGATATAAATTTTCCTTTGGATAACCGGAATCGTAAGTTTCTAGTATCGTGGTATGAGAAATTTCCTTGGTTAGAGTATTCTGTCTCGTTGGATAAAGCTTTTTGTTTCGTCTGCAGAGTGTTCAACGCACAGGTGAGTTAATTGTGTGATTTGCGCTTTAATTATTTTCCTAAGTTAGTCCTAACCTTGTTAAGATGTTTACACTTAATGCGTACCGTTTAATTTGCAATTATACATGGACCATGGCCCTGGTAGTGTTTAATTATATATCAAAATGCGATGTGTAATACTCAATACTGTTGTTTTAAATAATTACTAATTATCGCAAAAGTATGAAAAGTTCCACAAACAAACTATAATTCATCCTCTCTGTATCGTCAAATAGTTGATATGTATTATAAAAATACAAGAAACGCTTCTTATATTATGACAACGTAAAACAATGACATTTGTCTTCTTTGCATGCAGACGTCGTCAAGGAGTGAACCTATCTTCATCAAAACTGGTTTTAGTAACTGGAAAAAGAGCGAAGTCTTCGCAAAGCACGAGAAGTCAGATTGCCACAAGCATTCACTTCAAGCTCATCGTCACTGGAAATCCCAGAAGCCAATACATCATCAAATAGACGAAGAAAATGAGAGACAAGAGTCATATCGTCAACAAAATGTACGTATTGCCATTTGCCAAATATATATAACTTTGACAGGCCATCTGTGCACAACATTACAGACGAAGTAAGCGTGTGAAAACGCCAGTTTTGCATAAAAATGTCGGTGATATGGTGGTAATCCTGGTAATACGTTTATTCCTAAGAAACAATTGAGTGACGCGTATAAAGTTAACACAGTTAGGATTTTTTAAAAATTGTATCCTTTTATTTTCAGGTAAAAAAGAACCGAACTGTCGCATTTGCGGGAGTCTAGATTTCAAAATTTTCCGGGGGGCATGGCTCACGCCTTCGGCGTTCGGATCTCGCCCCCCCAAAACTTTGACTCTGGCTACGCCAACTGCTGGGTACAAGGTTGGTATGATTCGTCATCTCCCTAAATTTGCCGTTGAAAACTGTGCCATGTTTTCAATAGTTTGTGTATATTATAAGCAACAGTATGGGACATTGGCAACTGATGGTCCAGAACACAAACGAAATCGACATGTTGCTTACAGACAATTGACAAGATGGTGTTGGGGAATTTTAGGCAAAGAAATCAGAGTGCCATTGCCATCTTGTGCTGTAAGTTGCATAAGGGCTCATTTTCCACCCCCTGGTTTGGAAGATTTTGAATTTGAAGGTTTTCACTTTGCTGATGAATGATTGACATATACTTACAAAATATACATTTTCATAGATTACAGAAACTAACTGTAGTTGTTTTTGTTATTGTTTGTTGTTATGTAGCTAGCAAGACATTTTTTACACTCAATTGTTGGGCTAAGATGTACTTTATTTAATTATAGTTATGAAGCTTTAAGCCACAATGTTTCCAGTCTGTGTTCATACTTAAGTAATAGCATGGTATTCAGTTTGATCGACATACCTGAAAGCAGAGGGAGGTTTACTTAACCTCCCGAGTCTTGAGGGACAAAGGAACATATATGTAGTCACCAATCAACCGCAATTCCATGCTATTATACAAAACAATAGATACTCCGAAAATTGAAAGCATTTTGAAAAATTTATTTCATAAAAAATTTATAAACTTTTCAAAATGCTTTCAATTTTCGGAGTATCTATTGTTTTGCATTTTATCAAAATACTCAGTGGTTCCTGTAATTTCTGCCATGCTATTAATTTGTTATATTATGGCTACCAAGACAACAGCGGCATAAGTTAAACCAGTCTTTTGCATAAACATTATATGTATGATTAGTTACTAATCATGCATACCTTAGGTAAAATTAGTAAATAATCGTACCTAATGTTTTATGCAGTTGATGGATCAGGTTACTTAGATGTTAATTGTCCCTGCGAAACAAAGAATTTCGAAAACATGGTGAATGATTGAAAGCCATTTCTCTTTCATTACTGTAATAATTGTGGTCTGCATAATAATTGTGGTCTACTAAATGAGTGTTGATATTTGCAGGTGGTGGTTGGGAATCAGAAGAAAGACAATAAGTACTAGTAAAAGATTCATTTGTTTGGGTTTCAGCATTCACTAGCGTTCTCGCATTGATACAACACTGTGTACGAACATCGCGGCAGAGAGGCATAGGATCATCTCCAGTGGCATTACATGTGGTGCTTGTATCCATAGGTTGACAAACCTCAACCACTTGGTCACAACTTTCATCAACTGATTCCTGTAGTGTTTTGTAGCACTTTAAAAAAGGTTATATACTTTGCAGAGAATGCTGTAGTGTTTTGTAGCACTTTAAACAAAGGTTGTATACTTTGAAGAGTTTTGTAGTGTTTTGTAGCACTTTAAAAAAAGGTTGTATGCTTTGCAGAGTTGTAGTGTTATGTAGCCTTTAAAAAAGGTTATAGATGTAGTGTTTGTAGCACTTTAAAAAAGGTTTATATTTGCAGATGTAGTGTTTGTAAAAAGTAGTTTGTAGCACTTTAAAAAAGGTTGTATACTTTGCTGTAGTGTTTGAGCACTTTAAAAAAAGGTTGTAACTTTGCTGTAGTGTTTGTAGCATTTAAAAAAAGTTGTAACTTTGCAGAGTCACTTTAAAAAAGGTTGTATACTTCAGAGTTTCTATAGTCTTTCATAGTCTTTACTATAGTCTTTCATAGTCTTTACTATAGTCTTTCATAGTCAGGACTATTTAGCATTCACAACTAGTCTTCCGCGCATTTTTAGATAAAGTACTGAGATCTCTTCTGTCTAAAGTGAAGTGTTGCGATTGACTTGCCGAACTCAAATGAGACGTT